ACTAGATGAATGGGACCTTCTAAAAATTAAATTTTTATGTGCTTCCAAAGACTTCTCCAAAAGAATAAAAAGAGAACCTACAGACTGGGAAAATAAATTTGGCAATGATATATCTGACAAGGGATTTATCTCTAAAATGTATAGAAAACTCCAACACATCAACAACAAAAAGACAAATAATCCAATTAAAAAACGGGCAGAAGGCATGAACAGACACTTCACCAAAGAGGATATTCAGGCAGCCAACAAACATGAAGAAATGGTCACAATCATTAGCCCTTAAAAAACCAAACCAAACTCACTACTGTCAAGTCGGATCTCACTCATAGCGACCCCTCCTTGGGTTTCTGAGGCGGTATCACTACGGAAGTAGATTGCCCAATCTTCCTTCCAAGGAGTAGCTGGTGGGTTTGAACTTCCTGCCTTCTGGTTAGCAGTCAAATGCCTTAGGCATTACACCACCAGAGCTTCTTAGAGAGATGCAAATCAAAACAACAACAAGATACCATCTTGACCCAGCACTAGTAGCAAAGTTCAATGAGACAGAAAGTAACAAATGCTGGCAAGGATGTGGAGAGATTGAGACTCTCATGCACCGCTGGTGGGACTGTAAAATGATACAACCACTGTGGAAAGCAGTATGGCAGTTCCTTAAAAAGTTGGAATTAGAAATACCATTTGACCCAGCAATTCCATTACTAGGTATATATCATAAAGAAGTGAGAGCCAGGACAACAGATATATGCACACCCATATTCATCACAGCACTGTTTACAATAGCAAAAGACAGAACCAACCTAGGTGCCCATCAACAGAAGAATGGATAACCAAACTATGGTACATACACACAGTGGAATACTATGCAACTCTAAATAATAACGTAGAATCTGCAAAACCACCGCATAATGTGGATGAACTTGGAGGACATTATGCTGAGTGAAATAAGTCAATCACAGATAAATATTGTATTAGCTCATTATTGTAAAAAGTCAAGGAAAGGTTTATATATGAAAGGAAATTTTCTTTGTTGGTTACCAGGGGTGGGAGGGGAGAGGAGGGAACACTGCTAGATAGATAGAGATAAGTATTGATTTGGGTGAAGGGAAGGGCAATGTATCAAATGTGAGTGATCAACATGGTGTCACTGAGGAAGAGGAAGACATAGAGAGGTGCATGGGAGGTACAGAAAACAAAGATGAATTCTTTTGCACATACAGTACTACATTGTCAGTGATGGCAAACATTGATTTATAGGTAGATAGATAGGTGGACAGCCTGAATGATTAGGTGTCTATGCAGTGGGAAGTATGCCCATGACCATGTATAGTGCTGGCAGACAATGTTTCTACAAGTGTATTTGTATGTTCTTTAAGAATTTCCAGGTATAGGGAGGAAAGGGGAGGGAACACTGCAAAAAAAAAAAAAAAA